TGAAAATTTCAGAATATTTATATCTTGTAATTTTAAAGCTTTATTTCTAATCAGTATTTTGACCGATTAGATATTTCCTTCAGTAATTCTCTTAATGAATTATTTAGTCAAAAACTTGTGAATCCCATAATCTATTTTTAAAATTAAAATATATATAAACTCTAGTTTTTTCCTAAGAAACCAAAAGAAAATAGATTTTGAAATCGAGATAGGTTCAAATCTATCTTTCTGTCTGATCGAACTTTCTAAAGCTTTTTTCTTTTGTTTTGTAATATACTATACGTTTAAATTTTTTAAACCTAATAGTAACAAATAATTAATTTAAATTCAATCTAATCAGTCTTTGACCGATTAGACTTTTCTTTGCGCAATTGTTTTTCAAGGTTTAAAAGGTAAAAGAAGGATCCCAACTCGTATATATGTCTGAAATTCAATTTTGCTTGTTATACTAACTCTTACTTTCCCTCTTTATTCTTAATCTTGAACAATCGCTCATGCGCTTTTTCGTTCTTCAGAATGCCTTTAAAATATTATTATATTGTTCTAATTGGTCACACTCCAGATATTTATAATACTTTAGAAGAATGTGATGAACAAGTGAACAACTTTACATCATCCTACTATAAAAAATTTTCAACGATAGAAGAAGCCAACGAAGAATTCGAAAGATATCAAACAAGAGTTAAAAGAAAGCAAGAAAAATTAAATTCTGATGATAAAATAATTATATACACAGATGGTTCTCACAAAAACAATCAAAAAGGATTATATGCAGGTATTGGAGTTTATTATGAAGATAGAAGTAAAGAAATCACTGAACCTTTACCAGGAGACTTACAAACCAATAATCGCGCAGAATTATATACAGTAATTCGTGCATTGGAAACATGTGAGGATCAAAATAGAGTAATTGAGATTAAATCAGATAGCCGTTTTGTTGTTAATTCTCTCGAAACATGAATTCATAAATGGAAAAAAATTGGATTTAAAACAGTAAAAAATCAGGATGTAAAAAACAAAGATTTGTTTATGAAGATTGATTTTTTATTGACTAAAAGACCCAAACAAGTATATTTTACACATATTTTTGGTCATAGAGGTATTGACGGAAATGAAATAGCAGACAAATTAGCAAGACGTGGTGCTACTATTAAAATGAATGAGAGCAAAAAATTATCTCCTTACAATGCATTTATGAAAACAAATTTACCCTTTGTTAAAAAGAATAATCCAAATTTAGAACATAAAGATGCGTTTAAATTAGTCATGTCAATGTGGAACGAAAAAAAAGAAAAACAAAAAATAAACTAAACAAATAGACGATATATTTTTTTATTTATTTTATTTTAATAAATATTTTATTTTAATAAATTTTCTATTAATCGAATTTATCGAATTTAAATTTGTTTCTGAGAAATGACAAAAATGAGATCTTGATTAGAAATAATTACAACTTGTTGGAATTATTTATCATCAAATCGAGGCGTTTGTCATTTTGAAGAAACAACTGATGAAAAATAAAGTTGGTTCTTCTCTGAAGAACGAAAAAGGCACAGAGCATCGTCCAAGATTAAGAATAAAGAGGTATCACAATCAATTTTTCAGGCTGGAATCTGAAAAATTGTATCTAATCAGTTTTAAACCGATTAGATTTTTACTTATGTAATTTTTGTTTAAAGATGTCTCAATCATCAAACAATTCAGATATTGATATTCAAACTTCTGTTAATAAAGGTATTGTTTTAAATAAAAAAAAACAATTTTGGTGGTTCAGAGAAAACGAAAACACAAATTTTCGAAGACCAATCATGTTTCCTGATGATGAAGGTCACATTACCGAATACATACAAATCAAGTTGAGTGATAAGCAAAATGCTCTTCTTGACAGAAAGCATCGAGACTTTTTGAAGCAACATAAGTTTATTCTCGATAAGAACAATATCGTTGAAGCAACTACTAAAGATTTTTTATTAGAATTACTTTATCCTGAAGCAAAATTAGCAAATATTAAATTTAAAAATGGTTATTTTTTTGATTACGTAAATGTAATATTATTTTATTTTATTAATTAAAATTATAACTTAAATTTAATAAAATAAAAATAAAAAAATATATTTTTTTAAAAACAATTTTTTAAACGAAATTAATCAGCCGGCTCATATTTCTCTTTTAAAGCTATATATTTTTTGTTTAATTTGAAATATTCGCTATTTGTTTCGTCAACTTCTTTTTGAAGTTTAACAATATTTTCAACAAGTGATAAACCTTTGTTATATTTTCTAAATCCGCTTTTACAATTTTCTTTAAGTTTATTGCAATCATGACATGATTCTTTTGGTACTTCTTTTATTTTTTTCTTTATTTCGAGAAGCGAAAAGATAACTGTTTC